GGTGGCGCGGCGCCTTCCCACCCGGCTGGAAGCGGGGTCGCCCGCCACGGTTTCGTGCGCCGGGCCCCGCACTCCGCCTTCTTTTGGGCAACTGGCACTTCCATGGGTAGTAAACAACCCCTCTTCTCAGGAATCTTCTAGACCTTCCAAAGGCAGCGGTTTACCTTGTTTTTCTAGTAAGGCCCATTCTGACAACGGAGTACTATAGCGATTGCTAGCTGGAGTAGCAACTAGCGAGCTCAAAGTAGCAAAGACTTTGGCAGGATTCAGTCCACTTCTTATTTATTCATTTTTCCAATTCTTATACACATCTTTAATACTGACCTTTTTTTATTTAAACTGCTTAGGCGTAACTGTGATCTATGGTCGTAAGACATAAACGTATTCAAACCTCAAGATTCGGAGCACCAGTTGGTTGTCTCTAGGGGCTGACAGGAATTTAGCCCAGTGTAAAACACGACGTATTTTAAATGGTATTTTGTTCGCGTACAATACAAATTCTCTTAATTCTAGGTATTCAGGTACCTAGCCATAGCTTTGAGGCCAGATACCAAGCTAGACTGGTCCGTGTTCTCGCCAGGCAGGTCTTGCATTTTTACCCTGTATCTGTTGGTAGCATATCAAATATCCAAGGCATTGGTTTTTACAGTGAGTGACCTATGTCTCACATGAAATTAAGACAGCTACATTAACAAAAAAAAAAACAAAATGGAAGAAATTAAAAGACAGCATCTATTTTACTCCACTCCCACTGGCAAAACTTAGGTTTTTTAAGCTTTTTCGCTTCCGCAGCCAGAAACGAGTAAAGAGGGTTTTTTTTCTTAAGTACCAAAGGACATTCCTGACCTTGTCTGTAAATTTCCGAGGTTCACGTTCCTCTTAAGAAGAGGGAAGGAGCACAAAACGGCAGAAGGGTGGAATGAGTGAATTCTGTCCAATCCCCTATTGAGGTAAGCGTACGGAAGTAGTAGCTCATGTCCTTTACTCATTTTGGCCTGTTCTCAAGAAACAGGTGTTGTAAGCCATCTACAAATTTTCCTTTTGAAAAAGGCAGTGAACTGGAGGGGAGCCCCGTGTTTCTGCCTGGCCCATAACAGCAGTATAAATAAAAAGCATGACGAGTCAAACAGTGAAGGCTTCAACCACCTCTGGCCCAGAGCTACAGCCATCACTATCTGAAGTTTATGGAAATGCCAAGTCCTACTTTTATCTTACATAACATAACCTTTAAGGAGTAACTAAGGAAGATGCTTTCATTTTACAGAGCTGCTACAGATAACCGTGACAAATAATCTCCACTCTCTGGACTATTTTATTTCAACGTTATTCCAGCGCATCCCTTGTCACCTGTGAAGAAAAGCTCTTTGGTGCTGGTACACATTCTCCTGAAGTGTAATTAATGTAAATAGATACAGAAGGTACCTGTGGTGGTCTGCAGCCAGCCAATACATTCAGGCTTTGGTAGAGGTAGGGATTTTGACTGCCTGATAATTGTTTTCAGGAAACTACTAAGATCTCTCTTTCTAATCTCTTGCCCTACATTCTTTATTTGGTGGTGAGGAAAATAACAAAAGCAAGGAGCTCACAGAACTGAAAGAGGCAGCACCAATTTGTCAGGTTGCTTATTACAGCAAACATTGGCTTAATATCTTACCGATTTGCCGCTGCTTCCTTTTGAGCATGTAACTGAATGAGTATTGCATTGGATAACTGGTACTGAAAGACTTTGCGGGACTTCTGGACAGTGAGTGTATCTACCTGGGGTTTTCAGAAAACGACATCGAAGTAGTCAGAAGGCAAATAGCTCTCCAAAGGCACACAGAATGGTATTACACCTTCAGTAAACCCAGCTGAGAGGTCACGAAAGACAAACGTGCTCCAAGTCAAGTACAGTTATTTAAAATCTACATGAACATCTATTTTCTAGGCAAGACAATGGGCTGACAGTCCCCAAGACTGTTAAACAATTAGTACTGAACAACAATTGATCGCTTTTATACAAAGTTTATTAAGACGTCCAGAAGAATAAATCTGAAAAAACATGTAGCAAACAGTAATTTTAATTCAGGAGTACAAGGCAACTTAAGACACCTAGAGCATTTATATAGTTGACAAATAAAAATACAGTGATAATTACCATCCCTGAGCAACAATGCATTTTAAATATCATACTTAAAAAAGTTTCTCAAATGTACCTGCGTATGCAGACATAAAATTGTTAAAATTTGTTAAAAGATGAAGACCTGAAGATAAGCAACTTGCCCCTTAAAGATGTGAAGTACAACTGGGTTTGGAAAACTTAAATATTACATCTAAACAAATCAAGCTGTTAACTTACTCTACAAGCTACTTAACAGCAATGCTAAATGTATTTTATTTTGGTTTGACCGGTCCTTTGCATTGCATACTGACAGCAACTTTTTTCCTCAATGAAGCAGTAGCAGCTTAAGACAATGTCTATCTTCTTCATTACTAAACACGTCATGTATTGTGTATTCAGCAATGGTGTGAATTTGAAAGTCAGAATGAAGAACAGAGTCTCCTCTAATGGTCCAGACTTCAAGCAACAGTCACATAGAGTAAATTTTAACAAGTTTTAATACCCAGCTTCTACATTCTCCTGTCTTCCAAAAGGTCTGGGTGTGAAAGTATTTAACCCAAGGATCTATATCAAATGGTCTAGCCACTAAATGGTGCACAGGTCTCCAGATACTTAGGCATCTCAGCCAAAGTGAACACACAGACGAAGTAATTTTATTTCCCCAGCTGTGTATGACTGATGGCATTGAAGTTAATATCAGCCTCTTTATTGCTGAGGAAGAAAAATGGCAACTTCATTAACAGGCACTGCTGAGAATGAAAAGTTAATTTACAGAAGAATAACATCCTGAATACTGAAAAAATAGTGCATACATCAGAAGAATTTACTTTGTGCTCTTAATTTCTTGTGTAGTGTTATATTGTTCATATTATTGGTATTCAAGAATATTGTTCATATTATTGTTATTCACATCTTGATCATCGATCTTTGGCTGTGGACAAACTATTATCAGCCCAAGCAGAATTTATTTATTTCACTGATGGCACTGCCAAATTAACAATGATGTAAACGTCAACCAGCTTTCCAGGCCCTTACCCCGATCCATATCTTCTTTGAAACAGTAGCAGATCTGAAGTTAAGAGATTAGGTAATAAAATATTTCCTACGTGATAACACACATAGCATAGAAATTTAATAGATCATGAAACGTCTCCTGTGTCATCTACGAGTAAGTTTACAAGTACAAACACAGATTCCAGATAACAATATTTTAGCTGTTAATTCAAATTGAAAGAATATAGTATTAAAAACCACAACGCTTTTATTAAGTATCAAGTACTTTCAAACCAACCAACCTGCTTTCAGGAGGAAGTTGGACTAGGTGACCTCTGGAGTCCCCAAATAGGATTTAGGACTATGTAACTGACTTATTACCCATCTGCTTAATATTGAAATATGAATAAAAGCTTTACAAAGCAGTGATGAAATGCTTTATGTTACTAAGAGAGGTAAAACCCATCTATCTTTCAATTATTCACTAACTGGTTGCTTTTTCCCAGCTACTGGCTGACCTATGGTTATGTCCATTTGATTTATAAATCGGGTAGTCTAAGAATTACAGTATCAGTTAGAGCAGACAAGCAGTATTAGAAATGATAAAAGTACTGGAATGTAACAAAAGTGGCATCCACTTTGCAGGATAACAGTTACTTGAGTCCTTCACATGAAGCTGAAAGAAAAGAAAAAAACAAATCCAACTTTAACAAAAATGCTGTAAGGTTGTATATACGGCACAAGCTGTATCTTGTACTAATTCGATAGTTAATGATTTTGCATCACCAAGTAATAGTTTGGCCCTAATTATTAGGCCAATAATTATTTGGCCTAATACAGAATTAATAAATTCAGTATAACAGAATTTACTTGGCCGTTCATATAGAAAACCAGAATGTTTTCGTAAGTTTCAGCTGTTCGGGATATCTGTAATTCACTTGTACTTCTTACTTTCTAAGTACAAATTAATGCAGAATGGTTGTTTTAGTCTGTTAATACCATCAGCTCTAACACACTGAAATGTGTCCTTTCCCCACATCTTTCCAGTGCTCAGACAGAACACAGCTAATTGACAGAACGAACAAACACGATTTGAAGAAGTTTGCATTAACCAGTGTGACTGAAGCTCCCATAATGCAGTAAAGAGGTTCTGAAGTAAGTGGTGTATTTTTCGGAAGTCTATAGGTGGTGTCAGAATATGCCCTAAGTTAATTACCTCCTTAAAAAATCAGGTTTCTTGATATCTAGAAAATAGGGAAAAAATGCAACACTAGTGTCAGTTTGTTTATGCAAACAAAAGCTGTGTTTCACTGTCCCAGCCATTAAATATTTTTTGCCTAGAACTCTGGCACTACAAGAGGCTACGCTCAGAATCCAGCACTGT